CCCGGGCCGCTCTCTCCCCCTAGAGGCACCGCGGCCGCGGGGTCGGCCCGTCCTTCCCGCCGCCCCGGGACACGCAGCCCTGTTGTCCGAGGAAGGCCGGAGGAAAGAGGGTTTCTAATCCCCGCTCTCCTCTCTCGTGGCCTTGTGATGCTCAGCCTGGAAGATAGTCGCTCCTTAAGACGGGCTTTATCTCCCTCTTCCTAGGAACCCCTCTTGAATCTCACGGTTGAGGCAGCGCTTTCTGGGCCTGCCTCTCCGAAAGCTTGGCGAGGTGCCCTCCTGGCAGTGCTGCAGGCACCTCGGGAGCAGCAAGGGTACCTGGCCTGCTCCAAGTGCCACAGCTTCACCTCTTTCAGTCCTAGTTGTGGTAAGGAGTTCTGCCTTCTCCAAGGGCTTGCTCCTTCCATCAGGGAGAAGGACCCTGTCCCAAGTATCACTCAGAGGGCTCTGCCTCACTTCTGTCCCCTTCAAGGATGCGGGTACCACAAAGTCCGCCACATGCTCCTGGCAAACAACAAATAAGGCTGCACCCCTGCCTGGTCTAGTTAATCACAAGTTCCCTCTCCAGGCAGCAGAAGGTTAAAACACCCCCTTGACTCTTATTACAGAAGGAAAGGGGTGTATGTTCCCGAGCCACTGAACATGGAGAGCTGATGCATGCACCAAACGTGTCTCTTGTTTCATCATTCTTTCCGAATCAGGATTAGTTTGCTTTCTTTTTGGGTAATTTAACATGTCAAACACAAGCTACTAAGAACAAACGTTTCCCCAAAGGAAATTCCTCTTTCCCACCTTCTTTGTGCCATATACTTAGTGACCTACTAACTACTAAGCATGTGCTTTGCCCCAGATCCTGACGTGAGGGGATCTGGAGTGTGAAACTGCTCCCAAGTTTTCTTCTTCATATACTGTTTGTTAGAAAGATAACAGCACATCCTGCTTTACACTCCTGTTGCTGTTTTTAGAGATGGTATTGTGTGTTATTCTGCAGAAGATATTTTGGTCACCAGTGTCAAAAGATAACGTTTTAACCTCAGTTTCTGGTGATGCTCACCATGGACATCACCATCTTGTGGCCAAAGGGACGTTTGTGTCGGGGGCTAATGGCGGAGGCTCTAAGAGCTGGGCTCTGGTGGCACCAGCCGAAGGACAGGAGGGCGATGGCCTGGAGGTGGGGACTGCGGGAAAGGCACAAGGGACTTAGAGATGTTCTAGGGTCAAAAAGGAGACTTGGCGCCACTTCAGAATTTGTTTTATCACGAAATAGGAATGAAACATTAGTCAATTTAAGACTCCTCTGTTCGACTGGAATTTTACCAATTGTATTTCTGAGCTCCCGGCAGGAGCCCTGGATACGGCAACCGAATTGGAAACGTTGCGTACGGATTGTTCAACAGCTCCTTTGGGAGATAGGCGGGGACACCACGAAGGAACAGGGAAGAAGCGCCTGAAAGAGAGGGTTATGCAAGGAGCATGGACAGTGTTCTTCTTGCACCACTGATGCCTTTTACAGAAACTCCTCAGCCCTTAAAATCTCCACTCGCTCGTGCCCCTGGCCCGTTCTGTATCTGTGCTGGCAACGCCCACAGACGTTTCAGATTCCGTGAGAGATGCATATAATGTTAGACCTAATATAAGAGGCTTTTGAAGATGGCGCCAGGCGCCACAACCCAAGGCAAGAAGGGAATTGGCACTAACCAGGAACATTCATGTCCTATTGGGTGATGCCTGGGGGTACCCAAACCACTTGTGCAAGACAGCAAACAGCAGGCACCCTGCTGCACTTTCAAAATCTGGTCTATAACTTTCTTGATAGAAAAGGACAACAGTTAGCCAGGCTAAAATGGTGTATATTTACTGTCATCTTAATATTAGTTTTATTGAGTAGATGAGGAGGTAAAATTACAAGAAATTAAGAGTGAATTGTTCATTGTCCTGCCAGGGCTTAAGGAAAAGCTGATGCCCCCATTCTACCGTGGGAGGGTTTAGAATCACAGTTATTTCCTTGGATCCTGAATGTATCTCATTCTCCACGGAACAGGTTAAAATCCAGCTACTTGCAGCCCTGGGGTTTGTTTTGTTGCATGTTAGCATGAATGGACCTCAGTCCTTCAGACGGGTATTTTGATGCATTTCCTCCTAAGCCTCTGCCTTGTTATTCCTGGGAGCGTTTGAAAGTGTTTAAGATAACACACAGTGGTCTGTGCCATTACGAATCTCTCAAATTCTGTGAGTACATTTTAAATCCAAGAGCTGCTTGGTTTTACATTTCTGTAACTGGATTTGCTATGAGCAATATAGTTTCAGTCATTCATCCCAGTATGCTTTACAGCAGGGACTGTAGCTGTGACGGAGGCTGAAGCGCATGGGATGAGCCCAGTTTGGCAACTAGACCTCAGTTCTTAAACCAGAAGAAAGATTTTGCTACATTCCCTCCAGCTCCATTAATACTGCCTGTTTGCTACCTCCCTTTATGTGTCTTACACCTTTAAATTCAGGTGCTCCCAGTCTTCCCATACCACAGGAAAAGAAGCAGAAATGCTTCTTATTGCTCAAATTTGGCACAAGATACCTAGGTCTGGAAAGGTTTTACACAAATGTACGCACACATACATACACACTTATATATACCGTACATTTTTTAAAGCTGTTTTTTAAATTATAGGAGTACAGAAACACACATAAAAGTTTGAGGCTTCAGACACTTCCCATGTATCTATTAAACAAACAGACTTTCAGTCTTAAAGTTGAATTTTTGCAGGCCTTGCTCTATATTGTACCATATCTTTGTAGAAGTTTTTGAAAAGCTGGTTGGCAAAGCAGCTACTGTACGTGCTACAAACTTGCTGTGTGTAGAGCCTGCATGCATTTGTACTCATGAGTATGTGCATTTTATGTCTATTTTTTAAGACACTTTAATGCACGCCTTTCAGAACTGGTGTTTCGATAGGGCTGCAAACCTCTGATGGAGAGCATGAATTGAAATTAAGACTATGAAGACATGTCTGTGAGTTGTACTCAAGTGTAGTGAACCAGCAGCAACGGACAATTGAAAACAAACCTGTTTATGTGCTTCAGAAATTCACCAATAATTCACATTGTAAAATAATTTTTATTTATCATTTTTTGCATGCAATACAGAACAGAGATAGTAGTGATTTTTCATTACTTTTAACATAAAGCTTGCAGGAAATTAACAGGGAGTGTAGATATTGGAACAGAAAAAGCAAATTAATGACAGTTTGCCAGAGCTAATTTTCACTTATATCCTTAATTGTTTTAGTGGATTTAAGCTCAGGCCTTAATTGTGCTTTCAGAGTTTTTTTCATGGTTTACTGTATGCACAAATAAATGAAAAACTAGTTATGGTCCATGAGATTATTTTGCTTGGCATTCAACATTTAATGCTACTTGATAATTATGATAATGTTCCTTGCTCACAGGCCTCCTTTCCAGGCTTTACGGTTGATTTATGCAAATGTATCAGTGTCATTCAGTGATTTCAAAAGGATATAACAGAACTGATCATTCAAACTAGTATTTGCAAAAAAAGTATAAGAAAAAGGAAATATAAACACATAAATAATTTAAAAGATATTTCCATTTGGCACACCAGTGATAAATTGCATTAACAGCTTCATTTCTTCAGCTAGTCAAATTATAGTCATAATTTGCTGTCTGGTACCCACAAACTCCATTTCTTTTATGGTGTTTCATTTAATGGTCTCTGTTGTACTCTACAGGGTTTAGTTTGATGGAGGAAATAATTATAATTTTAACTGGTCTGTTCCATCGAGATTTAAGTGGAGTGCACTGTAGAGCTTGCTTTGTGTGCTACAATGCAATTTCTAGTGATACAACGTACATGAAAACACTTTACAGAGTTGAGGACAGCTACTGTCCTGCAAGCAGAAAGTGAAGGAAAGGCTGTGTGGGGATGGAGGGAAGAAAAAAAGGAAACAGACCTGACATTTTAAAAGCCATAAAGAGGCAGGTGAGGGTCCTTGCAGGCTGGTTATTGTAAAGGAAAAATAGAAGATGCAGAAATGGAGGGGAAGGCAAGTAGGATTTGTACCAGTACAATACATGCCATGGTATGTTATTTTAATTGCTGCACTCAGATGAACTGCAAACAATGTTGGTCACAGAGCAGCAGGTTTACACGCCTTTTCCTCTTGTTGCCTTAAGCTTTAAGTTGCAATGAAAACGATGGTGACCACCTGGATAGAGACCAGCAATACCCCAGCAATCAAAAAACAAAGCGCATGAGGACATCATTCAAACACCACCAGTTGCGGACAATGAAGTCATACTTTGCTATTAACCACAATCCTGATGCCAAGGACTTGAAACAGCTAGCTCAGAAAACCGGCCTGACCAAAAGAGTTCTTCAGGTAAGAGCAATCATTTGTCTTGAGAAGTCGGTAAAACATCAGATTTATATTTGAAATGCCACGGATTTTGCTGATTTTCAAGCTTTTCTTAATCATTCGTGCCTTCCATGAGACTTCAGTTAAATCCTAGAAAGCATGAGACAAGTTAGTTATTTCCAGCTTCCCAAAAATAGATCACTTGGGTTCTAAATTGTAATGACAGTTGTGAAGGTTTGAGGCCCTGCTTGTTTTCCTATAGTTAGTTAATTCTGGTGCATGTTTTAGCTTCTAGTCGGCTGTTAGAAAAAGTGACTTATTTTGGCTAGTGTGTTCACTGTAAATAGAGAGCTCTTAATTTAGAAATTACTGTGAATGTTTACCTTTAGAGGAAATTAATCAGCAGTTCAAATTTATTTTGAAAGGACAAAGAGGGTATGTTTTCCTTCATAACTGAAGTAGACAAATGTAATCTTTTAAAGATTAATTTTTTATTCATACTTTAGTAACTTAGAATGAAAGGAGACTGCATTTTAAAAGTACTTTTTCTCTGAAAGCTGGATTTTTCTTGCTTCAAGGATATACACTCCGTTTGAACTATTGTGGGAAGCAAAGGTGAGAATATTAGTTAATTCAGCTCCATTTTAATTTATAGTTCTGATTCAAGAAGTCAGTTTTAATGGGCACTTATCCAAAAGCTATATCTAGAGAGAAATTTGGGCGTATAGGAGCCACGGCATTCAGAATCTATTGGTGGATTTTTTTAAATGGGTCCTAATTGTAGAAAAACGGCTTGAGAGCTTCACAGAGACAGGTAGGGCTCAGAGACAGACTCCTGGGAAGGCATCGGGGACAGCTCTCGCACCTTCGTAGGCAAGTGGAGGGCGGTAGACAAAAGTACTGAGAAAACCTGAATTCACTGGAGAGATTCTGGGCCTTCCAGTACCTGACAGAAGAAGGAATAAAGGTTTTTCAGGCCTCCCAGTAAAAACTGCTACTGAAAAACAGTGGGTAATTACTTCTCTTGGCTACATCCTCCATAGCTGGATTTAGTTTGTTTGTTTACGAGGCTGATTTGTGGTGGTGGAACAGATTCCTCCACTATAACTAGTGCACATCCTAACACCTGATGTAGCGTCTCTCATAGCAGCTCTCCTTTACCCATGTACATGGGTGAAATCACTTATTGCACCCGTTTATCCTTATTTTGACACTTCAATTTTACTCACAGAGCTTAGACACTTCAGTAGTACCTGTTCTGTCCATCGCCGTGCACTCGCACCTGAGTTACCCGAGGAATTTCACACAGTGCGCTAAGAAAAGAGACCAGTGCCTAGAAAGTGCCTTTCTCCTGCTTATCTTTCTGTTCTCTCCCCTCATTCCACACCAGCTTTGACTTCCATCTCCCTTTTCTCTTTTCACCTCATGGGTCTTTCCTTCCGTCTTTTTTTTCCAAGTTATTGTCTCTCTTTCTTCCTCCCTTTTCAGGATATATTTCCTTGTCTCCAAAACTGGACCCTGTGTCTCCACTACGCCTCACTCACTTTTTTAGTCTTCATCACTTGTTTCCATCTTAAAATTGCCACCCTTTGTGGTTTTAAGGTCCTTAGTGGTACATCTGTTTTGCAGCAGTCCCTTACAATTCCACTAAACCTACCTCATTGTTTGGTAATCGGTGTTTAAATTCTTGTACTTTCACAGTTCAATGCTCCTTAATGCCTGGGCTCCCTCAGCTGAGGAGTGGTGGAAGGTAGGAGCTGGTGGTGAGGGTTGCACCCAGAGGATGGTGCTGTTGGAGGCACTTCAGGAAAATGACTCGGAGCGATGCTTTGTCTGGTGTCGTTTGAGTTTTCCTGTCTGTTACCAGCACACTCTACTCCCTTTTGAACTTTTTGTTTGAAAATTAATATAGGCCATGAAAAAACAAACTTCTCTTTTATTTTAGGAGCTTTGTGCCCAGTTGGTTTATCTGTAACGTGTGAGAGGCAATTTTTCAAACACGGAAGTTCAGCCTTGTGAGTCTCAGGGTTGCTTTTTGCTGGGGAAAACTCTTCGTGATGTTGGTTACTGAGATTGGTCACTTGTTAATTCTTTTGAGCCAGAAAGGTTGGCATTCCCTCTGTGTCATTTATTGAACACAAAGTAATTCGCTGATGCTATTGAGCTAAACAAGCATCATTAGTATTAGTCTGTCTTACATACTGAAAGCGCATGGACTCCCAGACGTACGAGCACGCTTCCTAGTAGGAAGAAATCTTCCGCATTCCCGATGTTATCAGGCGTGTCTGTAAGCTGCTGTGTTTTCTGTATGCTCAGATCTCAGTTCAGTTGATGAAGGATCGTGGCTCCTTCAATATCATCAATGGAATATATTTTAATGGAAAACACAAGGCAGCAGGACAGGAGGAACAGATTCTCTTGTTCTGAAACCAGTGTACTTCCTAAACACATGTAGTAGAGCTCCTAGTGCTTTAGGAAACAGCTATAGTGCCCTTAGTATATGGACAGTCCCATGTAACGTGTAAAGAGCATGTTTGCTTGTAGATGAGCGGGGAATTTGGCAATATTAATGATCTGGAAGATCTGACTTCTGTCTTTGCTTTATATACGATTAGTCATCAGCTACGCTTGTCCAGAAGTGGAATGGCACGGAAATGTAACAGGCTGCCTTGGAAATTACTTTTCCTTTAGTGGCTTTCTAATGCAGACTATTTTCCGTAAGTAGCCACATTAGAATCACAGTAAACCTATTTATATTTTTTACGTCTGTATTTATTTATTTTCATTCCAAATTAGCTTTATATTTGCAATTTAATTCATACACGTCTTGCACTGCAGCTGGGGAACACAAGCCTATTATTGTAAGCTATCACTCATAATTAAAATGACCAGCTAATTGTGAGCTAACTGGCATAAATATTCCTCTTTCGGGAATTGGTCTTCTCATGAGTTTAGAAAGGGAAGGTGGAAGTAGATAGCCCTAAGAAGGTATGGTTTGCTAGCTACAGGTACATACCTCTGCTCTCCCCAGGAGTCTGGAATATGATTATCCATGGCAAAAGCAGTTTAGGTACATCAAGTGTTGGGTTTTGTCAGGTGTCTTGTACACTGCTTATTCTTCCTTGAATGAGTCCCCAGTAAATGATATGAAAACCCTACAAAGATTACCGAATGCGTGTGGACTTTGCTCGTGCAGGTTCCAGTAGGCAACGAGCGTGACAATTTTCACCAACCCGCGTGGGTACCCTGCGCTACCTTCCCACGGCGATTTGCTTTAGGATGGCAAAGTGCAGGCTTTGACCGAGCCTCCGGTCATAAATCACCCCATAGCTCCCCTTTCACTGTGTGTTTAGTAACTACAACAGAGTAATCCGAACGTGCGTGCAATGAGCGAGCGCAGTTTGCTTTCTGGTGCGACATCCCTTGTATTCTTGTATCTCTGCTTACCAGTTAGTAAAATTCAGTCAGCCTCAACGTCTCCAGGCAGCTGTGAGAATGAGCGAAATTATGTTTAAAAAGTTGTTTCTAGCACAAGCTACTCATACAACTAATACATAACAGTTGCAACAACGTCACCAGCAAGAGAGTGAAGTTACCTGAGGTGGTGAGGTGATTTCACTCACTGCAGCGCCCGAGCCCTTTACAATACTGAGTGTAGTTATTTTCAGAGCTTCCCAATCATACAGAAGTGTTGTTTTACTCCTGTTTTACTTGATGGGGACAGTTAGCTGCACAGATCACTGAAGGCATAGTACAATATTTTAACCACAGTAAATATTATTCTGCGTGGCCGATTTGTCCAGCCACAGGCACCCAGCCGCGCTCACCAGAATGCTGTAGCATCAATGGGGCTCTTGCAGCTGCTTTTGTTTTTCAGTGGGAGTTTTAGTCCATCTTGTCCCCTTTGATTCGAAACAGCTCAGCCTTAGAATGATACAGTTGGACAGAAAACCACTAAATACTTCCCAATGATTTTGTTTATTCCTCAGTACTGGAGACCAGATTCCTAATTGTGTAATTGATGAGAGATAAGTCCTTCTGGAACAATTCCTTCAGTTATGTGTGTGGGTTATGATTTCTTTACTGTAATACCGTTACAGGTGCAGGGCCTGGACTGGCAGCGCGAGCGTACGGCCCCTGCCGTTACGCATGGCCAGCCCTGGCTTGCCAGCTCTTATACGCTGCTTTGAGCAGCTCTAGGTAACAACGTGGGGCGGTAGAGAAGGGGGCCTGCATGCCTACAGCTCCAAAACAATAGTTTTAATTATTTCACTACTCCTCAGCATGAAAACTTTGCTGAATACTTTCGTATCTTAAGGCCATACCAGAATATCACTATTGCAATAATTATTCTAGGTAATTCCCTTTCTATCATAAGACAAGGTATTTTCAGAATTTCAGTTAACAAATACTTAGATGTCTTTTCAGTAATAACATGAATATTTGGACGATTTTAAAGAGCTTTATAGCCATTAGCTGATTAACCTTGACAATATCTTGGTGAGGAAGAAAGTGAAAGTAGCCATATTATCTCGATTTTTGAATAATACAAGATCATGGAATATTTTCTATGAGAAACCTGAATTACCACTATTAAAGAGAGAATGAACCATTTTATACGTGTGGCTTCTGAAAGCAGCATTAATGGTCATCGGTAAGGGCACCTGAGCACGGGTTTTCATGTTTAATGGCAGATAAAGGGGAACACATGAGCACTAACAATCTTGCTCATCTTTCTTTACATGCTGCATGTTTCAAATCACAAACAGAAGCGATACTGTAGCGTCTTTTGCCCTACTAGGGTTAAGGAACAGTTGGACTCTTAGGAACAACGTGCATGAACAAAAGAGTTATGGTGCTTTTTACAGTTTTACACACATTAAGCAAGAAAATTGTTTTGTGAATATGAATGGAAATGTTACCATATTTGGGGCTACTGCATATATAAATATGTATGTGTATAATGAACATAAGTGCGTAATTATGCAGTAGTATGTGTATATGCAACCAAACTAGTGGTTTTGTCTGTTTTTCTTGTTACGCAACCATGGTACATGTACCTATTGACAGTGGCAGTCTCTAAACTTCCATTTCACCGTCGTACCTGTTATCCTTTTTACAATTGCTAGAAGGTATATTAAAGAAATCAAACCTAAATGACTTGTGAGACAAATATAAATTGTCTCTTTCTGAAAGGTAAAAGACCCCAGAAATGTTCAAATTGCTGTATTTTACCATTTCTTACTAGTTGGCACTTGAGACTGCGGCTTGAATGATCAGAACAAACTGATTTGCTTCACTTGCATCCCCTGCACACGAGGGTCCTCGCCTTGCTCAGAACCACAGGCACACTTCTGGTCCACCCTCCCTGCGTGGCTGTGAACGAACAGTCGTATGAGTGGACACTGGTTGTGAATGTGTCAGGCAAAAATAGCACATTTGGGTTGGCCGCATCGCTGTCCTTTAACAGGTTTACCACACTAACAGACTGTGTTATAAAATCATGAGTATGTTTTTGTCAGTGCTAGTTTAGGAGATGTTTGTTTTCTTGTCATATATAGGACTGATACATAGCCTTTGAACTAAGTGTTTTAACAAAGGGAATGCCAACATAAACTGTTTTAAAATACTAAGTTTTCAGAAACAAGGGCCTGTAGGGGTGTGATTTGTGCATGGCTCATGAATGCAGCCCCTATGGCCACTGCTAGAATTTGTGCCTGAGGATTATTTCCTCCTGGCATTCCCTAGAGAGAGTGCAAGAGAGGGAGTGTGCACCTTGAAGACCCTTGGTTGTGGGAGAAAGCTCTCCAGAGAAAAAGCAAGAGTGCTCCATAGAGGGAATTTAGGTCTGGACCATTTAGATGAGAAGAAAACCAGCCGAGACGTTCATGAGTTCAAACGGCGGCTGGGAAGCTGTGAGTGCTGAGAGAACACCTTACAGGACTGCTCCCATTTCTGAGTCGCTCCTCTGTCAGCGGTCTGGCTTAAAGCAGGTCCTGTGGCAGGGGCTGTGCTGCTCCAGAGGCAGAGGACAAAACTTCTGTACTGGCCAGTGTGGCCTGGTGAGCTCCATGCACTCTGTTTCCCTGTACCGGCCACAGAGGACAGCTCTGACGGAGATACTGTATGGCTGTGCAGATCCTTTCACTCGCTCCGTTCCTTCCTCCAACAGATGGAGACGATGAGGCTCATTGCATCTGGAATGGAAAGACTCTGTCCTACTCCTTATAGCAGGGCAACGTCAGGACAGTAGGATCAGGGTTGAGTCCACTGTAAAGAACGTAGCCATGACGGAAGGCCGCCTGATAAATAAGCACAGTGAAATTCCAGATAGTTCGTAGCAGTAAAATTACCTGGTATCAACTTGTATCAGGTTGAACACAGGGTATTCGGCGACATCTTCAAATGTAGTCGAAGTAATATGCTGTAGCTAAGGTTCATGCAAGTTTCACAAACACATTTTATCTATTTTCAAATAAGTCAGAAAAATATTTTGCCCTTAAACAAATCCTGCAGACAGTGGTGAACGTTATTAACTGGGACCTAAACACTGCGTTTTAAGTGAGAAAGAGGATGTCAGCTTTTGTCCTTCACGCAGAGGTAATTATCAAATAATGCAAGAAGTAGCAATCTTGGAAAAATCTCTGTATGCAGATATAATTTCTATGGAAATGTCAGTTTTTAATTCAATGTGGGTCCTTCATGCCATTCAAACCTCCTTTCCTGACATCATTCCAGTACTGAAAATAATCAAAAAAGGAGACTGGCATAGGCGAAGGGAGCTGAAGCATTTGAGAAAGAAGAGTAAGAGAAGAGTAAGAAAGAGGGAGAGTCCTTTCAGAAAAGCAGGAGCACTGCTGAGACTGAGAGTTGGCAAAGCTCTGGGGAGAGCTCTCGGGGCCCGCAGAAAGGCAGGGTGCTGTGGTCCGTGTCGCTTATGGTGCGAGACGGACTTGAGATACGAGGGTGCCGAAACTCGTTATTTTATATTTGTCAGATGCTTGATGTCCGCCTCATCCAGACTAACGCTTCTGGGATTGGGGGCAATCGAGGATTCATGTGGGCTGCCAAATTTCTAAGCATCTTTATACATAGCCTGCCCAGAAAGACTCTCCTCCTCCATCCTTAGCCCACTCCCGACCCAGGCAGACTGTTAACACAGGATTAAGAGGAACGCGTTGCAGGGGTGCAGAGGACACTTCTCATGGCTGGGGCTACTTTTCTAACATGTTACCAGCAAATACCTCTTCTGCAATTCAGTCGTCGGTGAATTTGTGAGTATGCTTTTGCTTTTTTAAACACTGCAGCTCTTTAAATGCTACCCTGTTATATTAAACTATTTCAGGTTTGGTTTCAAAATGCTCGAGCCAAATTCAGACGGAACCTCTTACGTCAAGAAAACACAGGGGTGGATAAGACTTCAGACTCAACACTCCAAGCAGGGACCCCTTCAGGTCCTGCCTCAGAAATATCCAATGCCTCCATGAGTCCATCCAGCACTCCCACTACTTTAACGGACTTGACTAATCCTACTATGCCTACTGTGACATCTGTCTTGACATCAGTGCCCGGAAGTCTTGAGGTTCATGAATCTCGAAGTCCTTCACAGACAACTCTCACAAATCTTTTCTGATGACTCTTTCTTAATAATTTCTTTAAAAAAGAAGTTATTCTTAGTTGAAATTCCAAGTGTATTTTAATAGAGGCTTTGAGCAACTGACTAACCACAATTAGGATCTCTCCTAAAAAACAGAAGGAAATGTAGTGTTCTGGTATCATGGAGTATGGACTGAAGAATAACTTGGAAGATCTATTGCAACACAACATTTGTGTAACTGTACAGTTTTGTGGACTGAGCAAGGGAAACAGCAATTAATTTAAGTTGGCTAAAGCTTCTGTATTTTCAAAGACTGCCATGTGCCTTATATACTGTTTTATCTACATTCTTTGGATTCCATGTCCACTTTTCTCTTTTTCTCTCTGTATATTTATGACCAGGGCAAAAATGTTAAGAGTTTGTTACTTTGACTAGTCCTAAGCCTTTCATTGGTTGCTTTGTTGTTTTAGAATTTTAAGGTCGAAGTCTGTTCCAATACCAGAATTTGTAAAATCTAACCAGTAATAAAACCACTTATGGAAACTACTTGGTAATGGCTGCAGTTACGTTTAACATTAGTGTCACAGCCAAGATAGGCTGACTGTGTTTAAAAGGATTAGAAAACTGCACTTCAAACACAGTATCCGATGAGGATAAACTCTAAATATGATGTATGCATTCCTCCCGTTCCTGCAGTATGGGTGAGAAATCCAGCTTGTACAACAGTCTAGGTACCTTCCTTGTAGAGAAATACCTGTTAGTTGCAGGTAGAAGTTACCAGATAATGTTAAAATTCAAACAGAAAAACTATCCTTAATTTTGCTGTGTGAAAGAAACTTGACTTCAGCCAGCATTTATGAAAACATCTTGGTTTTGGGCAAGAGATGGCTTGTCCCATTTCATGGAGGAGGCAGGCGGGTATCCATCAGCTATGTGGCCACAGTCCGTCCATTCCAGAGGTGGACATAGGGTAATGTTTTCCCTAGGGAAAAGACAGAAGTCTTTCAGGTTATTTTACAACGCTGGTGGGCAAAGGCGAGGCAAAATTATGTTTTATAAAGTCACAGCCTTACATTTTTTAATGTTCTGAAGGAATAAGAAGCCAAGGAAAAATATGATATTGATACTAATAAAAGTGGTTATTCCTTAAATGATTATGGACCTTTCAATACAACTGAATTTCTTCTCCCCCAAATTTCTGTGCAGAATATAGCTCCTATTTTGAGGGTTTTTTCCTATTGTTTTTAAAGATGCTTTTCCGTAATTAAAGAAATACCTCAGCAAAATTTAAATACGTGTACACTATGCTGTTTGCCTGGTAGTTTTATAGATTTTGAGTGGTACATAAGACGCATACGGTTGTTCCTTTTCAAACCCGTTACAATCAGTTTATTTCAGTCCAATGTTAGGTTGTCTGTGGCTAGCTGTCTAAAACTAATCCGTCATTCCCATTGGATCAAAATTGCTAAAGGATTATTCCAAATAAACAGCGAGAGGTGCCAAGATTTTTGTTCTTTGCCCTTTTCAGTGCATTGAAGATGATTTAGTAGGCCAGACTCTTCGGTAACAATGTTTTGGTTTTAAAAATGCTACATTTATTCAGCTTTCTCAGCTGAAAATTTGCCATTGTTGTGCAAGCCAAATTCCTATCAAGATCAGTGAGAGATCTCAGAGCATGAGGACTATGGGATAGAAATGCTGACGTAATTAGGTCATTTATTAACCTTTTTTACACTTCAGCTTAAAAGAACCCACAGGTGAGTTATTTGAAAAGCAAGATGCTCCTAAAAATCACAACTAGCGGAGATCTGTGAAAGGGATTACATTCTGGTCGCTAAAACCAATAGGCTGGCGTAGTTCATAATGTTTATGCACTATTTGGGTTGAATTGATAGCTGTTACAGTTTGTCCGAGACATTTTTCCTCATAATATAAATGTCTAATAAGTTGTGCTGGTTAGTGGACTGTGAAAGGGTACATCCCCGCCTTTCAAAGCTGTTCAGACACTGCGAATCTGCTGTATGTAATGTTCTGTTCATTGCCAATTACCTTGGAGATTTCTTTTTGACATGCTTAGCTGGATCTTTCTTGATTTAAAAGGCAATGTTGGTCCACTGTTAAACAGATACAGCCCATAATTAAACCCTCTGTTCATTAACCTGTACGCAGTTTGGAAAAACGGAATCCTGAATTCTTAAGTGTTACGGCAAATGTGACAGAAACAATTCAAATGGTTCTTCAAAACTGCAGTGCTATTATTTGTGATGTTGTATTTTAACTACCTGAGTCCCCGTGGATGGAAATACCTTTCAAATCAATTCTCAATATTGCCTTTTCAAATAACTGACATTCATGAAGGGGAGTACTCTCATGTTAATCTTATCTAAAACCTATAAGAGACAATTAGAGAAATTGTCTGGTTTAATCAAATCAGGGATTTTGCATATAAATAAGAGACAATATTCTATGTAGGGTCTTTATGTAGGTGCATTAGGATTCACTCACTGGCTCCAATGACCTATGTTGTCCCCATGATTGTTTCAATCCTGTGGTATTGTTTGGTTGTTTAGAGCTTGTTGGTTTTGAATGCTGTACATTTTTTTTACTACTGCAATCCTAATGTTTCTTCACATACTTGTACAGTTCCACATTTGATGTATTAGTCTGAAATTCTGTTAAAAACATGAACAAAAATGGAAATGATATTTCTTTGGAAGTGTATTTTTCCTGTATATCTAATTTGAACTAGTTGAACATACTTCTTTACATTTTGCATGATAGGTGTGTAGTTAATTTTTTTAAATATGAAAGAGACTTAAGAGTAACTTAGAATGAGCATATAATGAAACCTATACCAATATGGAAAATACATACAATGATTTGCTACTTTTTGACTCAAGAAACTTTTTGAAATACATTTTACCTAGTTTATTTAAGATAAAGCAGGTATTTTGTCTTTGAGTTCATACATAACACAGACTATAGAAGGGGATTACACACCAGGAGAACCTCTAAGTCACCTTGGTACTCCACAGCACACTGGATTGCTCTTGTCAAGCAAAGGGAAAAGATATTTGGTCGTAAGAATGCTGAATAAATCTATTTTGATGCACAGTAGAGAGGGATAACATTCTTGTAAGGGATAGGTAATCACAACTTCAAAGGTATTGACGCTGTTAATAGCTACGTTTCCTAAAACTTATTTTTCATACTAATTATCTAAGTTTGGGAAGCAAAGATCATTTTTTACTAACGAAGAAGCTAACGAAGGTACTAACGAAGAAGCTGAATGCCTGCCATGGAAGCAAAAGTCAATTTATATAATATTCTATGGATGGAGAAAGTGCCTCCAGGATATTTTCATTTCCCAACTATCTTTTCTTCCTAGCTGTTAAAAAAAGAACATTTTTAGAGCACTTTCCTGTAACTGTTCATTATTTTTTGTCTCTTAGCTGGTAAAGACTAAAACTTGGGCACCCGTAATAATAATCTTTATGTAAAGGAAAAGGAGAAAAAAACCCCTAAATCAAAGTAATAATCAGGCTTCATCCTTAGGCGTGGAAGGATTTCTTTTCCCTTTCCATCCTTTAGCTGTGGCTCTTTTCCAGGATGCTGCTAGTTTCAGTTTCCTTTCATGAAGGGTAGATCCCCTTCCTCTCACAGTTTCTACCCTCCTGCTTACCTGCATCCCTGGCCCTGGCCCCGGCAAGCACTTTGCATTTACCTGCCGCCGCCTGACTGTCCACAGCTCCTACAATGTGAATCCTCCAACCAGCTAACACTTCCCTGGAGTTGTTTCCTGCCTCGGCGGGAATTCATCCCTTTGGAACGAGGAGGACTTAAACCATTTCTGGTAGCAATTAATTTATCCATAGCTAAAATAACGACGCATAAAATGAATGGCCTATGCTTTTCTGAGATCGTGTCATCCTGCATTTGGAAAGACTGTGGGTGAAAGATATGTGCAAGACGTCCAGTTCTCATTAGCAACAGGGTTTGGGCGGGTGTGAAACGCCTGTGCGTCCCCTACCTGGTGCGTACAATCACGCAGTTGCTGGTGATCTGCATTTCTGCTTTCCAACTTTATCGTACTACACCTCCCTTTCCAGACCTTCAAGTCCTCTTTGTCTTGTCCTGCGAGTGAGTTGATTAGCATTCCGCTTAATCCCATCCCTCGGATCATTCTGCAGTGTCTTTGCTTAAAAAACTAAGTACAGCAAACCACAAACATCCTTCACACCTTCCCAGCACGTAAGGCTGGTCAGTCAGTACGATACGTCACTGTAGGCACCAGGGGCTGTACAGATCGAGGTCTGTTCTCATCCTAATTAAAGAGAAGCAAAGGAATAAATATTAGATTCTTGATCTACAGTGAATAAAAAAGTGTTTTAAGAGTATCCTAAGACTGGAAAATGCCTATAAAGAGGGAGTAAAGAGGGCATGTTTCTGACACGCAGGAAGCCGCCCTGCAAGCTGCAAGCGCTCGTGTCTTCAGTTCCGTACGTAGAGACCGTCTTCGGCTCGTTGCAGGCTTTAGCTGGGATGCCTAAAGGGATGGGGAAAGGGAGGAGTCAAGGTTGATCTGTCATAACATTAGGCGAGTCTGAGAAGTCACTGGGGGAAACATGGCTGCACCGAACTGGGGGTGTCACAAAGTCATTTTTAGGTGCTTTCACTGCAGGTGGCTTTGGCTTTGTGCCACGAGCGGGAGTAAGTACTGAGTTGCATCAGTCATCATGTATTACTACCCGGAGTTTGAAAAGCATCGGATGTGAAATGGCAGCCACAGAAAAGGCTAAACCCTCGGCTGGCTTCAGTCGCACTTTTGACTGTCGTACAAGGAGCTTCCCCTCCTTCCGTGGAGCAGCGTGCAGCCAAGATGAGACCCGCACTGCCACAGAGCTGCGTCCAGGTCTTGTCACGGGCACCCACCCCGGCCGCACGCAGCACTGAGCAGACACGCCAAGTGAATCACTTCCGGCACGCACGTTTTCCATGTTGAGAACCCTCAAAACATATTTTCACTGAAGCAGCAAATACTGACAGGCCTAACACTTCAAAATTTATGTTACTACCATTTCTGCTACAATTGTAGTCTTCTCCCAACCATTTATACTAATTAAATGTGTTTCTCCTCGCCGTTCAGCCTGGTAAAAATAGAGTTGTGCTGGATCAGGGCCAGGAATGGCATTCATCTTTTTTTTTTTCCCCCAAGGACTAGATAAAAAGGTATACTGGGCTTTTAATGGGTTTCTGATCAGATTCGTATGATGTTGCAGTTCTTTGTGGCCTAACAACTGGAATTTTGTAGCAACAAAGGTCAGTAAATATTTTGGGATTTTTGTTTTGAGCAAAGCATAATACTTAAAATATGCATCCTGCTGCCAGTAAATTCAGGCCTTGCAATATCATTTAGCATGCTAATGCATTGCACTGTGCAAATTATAATTATTTTCTGAGAATACCACTTCTGTAGAAGTTCTTCCTTTGTTAAAAAGAACTCCCCGTAGAAGGCATGGCTCTGCATACATATTTACACAG